TCTTCTGAGCTATATCGTTGCAGCATACCGTAAAAGCTGTTTTCAGCGACTTTCGTTTTGTTTTCAAAACTTTTATATCCATATTTCATCAAAAATATAAAGTAGCGGATGCCAAATTTACTATGGGTCAACTCACAGGGCTACAACGTGCAGGTTACAAATTAAATAATCACAGCGGGGATTATTAATATAAAGATTTAATATGGATATCTCACACAAGCTGAAAACGTTACATTACTTTAACTAGTGCATACATATAACTGAATGAAAAAGGGAATTTCCCCACTTAGTTCGCATTTAAAGAAAAATAAGAATAATAAAAAATATTCCAATCAGATGCGGCGCTCCTTCTGTTGACCTTCGCCGAACTGTTATGTAATCGTCTGTCTGCAGCGGCCGTCTCCAACAGAACCCTTATGTGCAAAATCAAACGAATTTGACAATATGTCTAATTTCTACAAAACTAATGGACAGATTTTAAAGAAGTTTGTTATAAATATGCAAATATAACAGAGAAAGAGATGTACAGTCTGCACGTTAAAAAGGAGGACAGTTCTGCATCTCGCTTTCTACTGGTCTGACTGACAGAATTTAATTGCGTCTGTTATACAGTCAAAAGTCATTAATCCGGACTCGTCGGGACTTCGGCGATTCCGGATTATCGATTTTTCCGGATTATAGATCATCAGTTTAAATCGCGTAAGATGGCATGCAGAAATTCTAAAATTAAAAAAATATGAAACCGTAATTTATGAAATAAAGAACAATTATGATCTAAAGGGTATCAAAATTTACAAAAAAAAAAAGCTTAATATTTATTTGTTTACTTTATTTATTAACATTTCTTTCAATGTAAGTTGTTTAAGTTGCTTCGTTTTATGTGATAATACTTTCTCTTTATTTCTATAAACAGACATAATTTTTTGTTCACTTACAAAGTTCAAGTCCCGTTAATTGCCGTGCCGAGAATACCGACTAACTTGTCAATCGAAATTTTTTCGTTTTTACTAACCTCTCTGTCACATTCTTCATGTCTTTATCCATTTTTTGCAGCAATTCCACTTTTTGTTTGATGGACATTGAAACATACTTTCGTTTTGTACGATCCTTTGGGAGCTCCAGATTCGGGAATTCTATTTGACATAATCGAAAGTTCAAGTTTACTTTTATAGTATTACTCTTACAGTCTGCAAAAAATAATAAGCCGGATCCAATTCGAAAATTAAGGAACAACGCAATCATCAGCATTAACTGAAATAGATAATTAGATAATTTTAGCTTATACCGTTCGTTATACATAAAACGCGAACGCGAAAACGTATTCTGCGCTTGCACACACGCAAATGCGCAGTCGTAAGAGGTCTTACGCGCACGCGTAAACGCCTATGCGCATGTGTCAACGCGGCACATGCGCAGAAAGTTTTTAGCTTTGAGGTCCGGATTATAGATCATTCCGGATTATGGGTGTCCGAATTAACGACTTTTGACTGTATCTTGAAAGTGCAACTTAGGATATGTATTAGATTTATGGTATTTTGATACATTAGACTTTTCCTGAAATAGCATGCTGATTTTTTCCCATATTTCGATTATATGATTCAAATTATGCATAAATATTAAATTTTGTAAAATTTGATGGGAAATTTCTCGAGAAATTAAAACAATTTATCTTCCTGCATTTTTTCAGTTTGCATAAAAAATAATTCACTTTGAGAAATTTTTAATTTATGGTAACCTATTTTATTTTTGCTTTTATTGTGCATGAGTGGAAAGGTGCTTCATTCATTCTTTCAAGTAATTTTAACAAATCGTGTAAAGCACATTATTGCTTATGAGAAATATGCCAAATTTCAAAACATGCCAATATATAAATTCGTGCATATCTTTGGAAATTTTGAATAAAAAACTAATTTTTTGCAGATATATATACTGTAAGGGATAGTAAAATTTTATAGGTTATGAATTAAATTTAAAAAAAAAATTACTAAAAAATACAGATTTGGAAAAGAAATTGGAAAATATCTGCAAATTCTGTTTGGATTAAATCTAAATTTAGAATTGTGAAAGAAGGAATCAAGCAGTTAAAAAAAAAAAAAAAAAAAAAAAAAAAAAAAATTAATAAATATGTATTAAATTCTGTTAATACTGAGAAGTTGAAATTTTAAGAGGTAATTTTTTAAAAATTACTTGTGCAATTTTTATAAAATTTGGCACTTTGATATAATTTGAATCGTAAAACCAGAATAATTTGAATTGTAGAATCGAAACTTGGAGAAAAAGAAAGAACTTTTAGAAAAGTCCAATTTTTTTTTTATCAAAATACCTACATTTAAGGGGTGTCAGAAACCCCTATACCGACAATGTTAAATTGACCATTTTTGATGAACCTTTTCTTAAAATCTGCTGTAGATACACACTTGAAATTTTTTTGTGTAAGTATACCTATCTGATTATACTGAAATGAACTTTTGAAAGTTGGAGTAAATTACAGAATATTTTGTTAGGTATAGTAAAATTTATCACACAACAAAATTTAAAAAAAAAAAAAAAATTCCTTAGTTTATCACAAAAAGCTCATTTCGGTAAATATTAGGAAACCTAATAAGTCATAAAAATTTTAGATACCTGTGAGTAGTAGTTCCTGAGAAAAGGTACATTGAGTATTAAAAAAATCACATTTGGAGAAAAATGCGTTTTTATTTAAAAATCCTCATTTAACAAAGCATTTGATGACAAATTAAAACTAGATTTTTTACAGTTCTAATTTTTATAGAGATTAAAGAATGGTATTTTTAGAAAGATAAAAGTGTAGAGAATTTGAAAATGCAAAAATCCGAAATCTTCATTTTTTGAAGATTTTTTTTTTTCAACACTCTATGTAAATCTAATGTGCATCAAAGTCGCACTTTTGAGACATGAAAAGTAAAATCCAATTTCATCAGTTAGCTAAGCATAATGGAAGATTTAGAACTTCTCTCCCCTTTGTGGAGATTGTACTATTCAAAAGTCATTTTACGTATGCATGATTATCAATAGAGCAGGGATGTCCAAAATCCCTTTTGTGATCTTAAACTGCAAATGAGTATGATGTATGGTTCCCCCTTACTGCCAGATAACATACTAGACAGGAGGCAGTTGAGGAGTCCATGTTGCAATCAATTCCACTCCTGCTGCAAAGCATTTTTCAACTGCATGATAGTGTTCAGAAAAGGATGGTAAGATGAAATTGCCCTCTCAAGTGTGTGTCAAACATGCTCTGTTGGGTTAAGGTCAGAAAATGTGGCTGGCCGATTTATGAAATCTATTCTCGCTTTCCAATAACTGTTGACTAGCTGAGCACTATGTGGATGAGCATTGTTGTCGTCCATTAATAGGAACCCAAAACCAACTGGGCCTGTGAAAATTTGATCTTAAATAGGGATTTAAGATTTATGTATCCTTGTTAGCAGTCAGTGAGCTTTATAAGACACATGCTGGGTGTGTGGCTGTTCAACATAGTGCCTGCCCAAACCATTATACTACCACCGTAATGATCTTTTCCTCTGATGAGGGAAGGTTGGTATGGTGTTCCAGGCTCTTTCCAGATACCAGTGTGCCATTCATTTAAAAATGAAGATCGGGGGAAGGAACCATTTATGTCCATAGACAAGAATTTTTTAGTTTGTGTAACTTATAAAGAAAATATTGCTGTAAAATCATAGAAAAAAATTCTAATAAACTTTCAACCTTTATTTAATTGAATTTGTATTGTAAACTATATTGTGTGTGTTTGTGCGCGTGTTTGAGATAAAAAAAAATATGCAAATTAGTTCTATAATTTAGAAGTAGGCTTTTAATTCGCTAATTTTTAATTTGGATACCTCCTCACTTGTAATAACTTTCTCGAAACTGCATCATATCTGAAAGCTAATTCCCTATTATGCCATCTTAAACTTCTGCATTTCCTATAAGTTTTAGCCAATGAGATTAATGAAAAATTTTACTCTAAACACCATTGCAATCCAACTACCCTCTATCTTTCTCTGCATACACTTGCTTGGCTGCTTCTGTTATATTTGTTGTCATTAAAATGCAGATTGGCCCCATTGTGATGCACCACACCTTAGAGCAGTCAACAAGTAATAGAAATGTATTTGGATTATCAAGTGATTTCCTAATTTTTCAGTTCTCTGCATCTTCTACAACATTGATATTTTCACTGATATTCTAACCTCCATCCTCTCATGACTGCAAAATAATGTCTTTCCTAGTCAAACGTCAAGCACTCATCTGGTATCAAATTACTGCAAGGAACTATACACATACACACACTTATGTAAGCACATACAGAACAGGAGATAAAGGTTCATTGGACCATGGAAAACAATTTATTTATTTTTTATTATATAAAAGTCTATGTAATGTAAAAATAAAACTGAAATTATTTGCTGTATTGAAACTGAACTGAGATATGGTAGTTGTTTAGTTTTCAGTATTTGGGTACAAAATTGGTTGTGTTAATTTAAAAATATATTGCTATAAACCAAATAATAGTAAAATAAATATGCTTTCATAATTTGTTGATTGTCATTAACCTTATAAAATGTTTAAAAGTAGTTATATACTTTTTGCTGAAATCTGAAGTTAAAAGAATATATAGCCATTGCATAAAAAGGCATTAATTTGATAATCTCTGTTTGTGCTGTGACTATAAACTTTTTTAACTTGAAATTTCAGTAAGATAAATAGTATATAACTATGGCATAAAAAGAGGTTAATTATCAAATTACCATTTTCATTATATTTATTATATTCAAGTTGCCATATGTTGTAACAAAACTTAAAATTAGTATGGTTGATGCTATCTGGTTTTCATGTCAGATTAAAAACAAAAGTATTAGAAGCATATTAAAAAAATATTTTTATCTATGATTGAAGCAATAGAAAAGCTCTATTACCGTATAATTATACGTCATGTCGCATGCATGCACTTACCTTAAATTTTATCTTTTCCCCCCCAGGTGTAACCCATTTTATAGAAATTGCCAAAAATGTCGAGCACTGGTGGAAGCTCTGTTCCTCGCATCCAGGTCTTTCGACCTACCATGGAAGAATTCAAAAACTTTTCAAAATACATTGAAAAAATAGAATCATTAGGAGCACATAAAGCTGGCTTAGCTAAAATAATCCCGCCAGAGGGCTGGTGTCCACGTAAGAAAGGTTATGATGATATAGATCTCATCATTCCTGCTCCTATTAGTCAAGTTGTTACTGGGCGTGGTGGTTTGTATCAGCAGTTAAACATTCAGCAGAGAGCAATGACGGTGAAAGAATTTAAAAAGTTGGCTGAAAGTAATAAATTTAAGACTCCCCCACATTTTGACTATGAAGATTTAGAAAGAAAATATTGGAAAAACATAACATATAATTCACCCATATATGGAGCAGACGTATCGGGATCTCTGTACGATGATGGAGTAGAAGAATTTAATATTCAGCACTTGAACACAATTTTGGATATGGTGAAAGAAGACTATGAAATACAAATAGAGGGAGTTAATACTGCATATTTATATTTTGGGATGTGGAAAACAACTTTTGCATGGCATACAGAAGATATGGATTTATATAGTATAAATTACCTTCATTTTGGTGCACCAAAATCGTGGTATGTTGTCCCTCCCGAGCATGGAAGGCGACTTGAACGTTTAGCTGCTGGGTTTTTTCATGGAAGCCATCAGACTTGTTCTGCATTTTTGCGGCACAAAATGACAATTATTTCTCCTCATGTACTGAAACAATATTCAATTCCTTGTAATAAAATTACCCAAGAACCTGGAGAATTTATGATAACTTTTCCTTTTGGTTATCATTCTGGTTTTAATCATGGATTTAATTGTGCAGAGTCTACTAATTTTGCTTTACCACGATGGATAGAATATGGAAAAAGAACAATGTCGTGCACATGTCGTAATGATTGTGTAAAAATATGCATGGATATGTTTGTACGAAAATTTCAACCTGACAGGTATGAACTGTGGAAAGCTGGAAAAGATTTTGGCACTCATCCTGAAGATCCATCTAGACATTATGCTGCACCCGCACCTAAGAAATTGGAATTAGCACTATCTGCTCAAAGAGAAGAACGAAAAAAGGCTAAAGAGTCTCAAAAAATTAAAAGGCATCCAATTTCTAAAAAGCTAGAGCAGAAAAAAGAAATTCCAGAAGTCTGTGAAGCTATTCCTAGACATAGCGATAATGAAGAAACAGAACTGTATGACGTAAATGAAGTGATACATCACAAAAATAAGAAAAAGCAGCTCAAAAAGGAAGTTATGGAGGATAATAATATAGAACAGATGGAAATTGTAGCTGATCCTGATGAGAAAAATGATGAAATAACTAAGAAATTGGATGTGCAAGATAGTCCACCACAACTCAAACCATTTTGGGATCCGGAAACGGAAAAAATTAAGAATAACGGTGAAAAAGAAATTGTACCAGATAACGTTAAAGATGATTATCAAAGACATGTAGAACTCCTTGAAAAGTACCCTCAATTAAAGCAAGCTATAAACAGTGGTACAATGTCTGTAGTGCTTATTAATCCTTCATCTGCAGAAAAGTCTATGTTGCCATTAACTCCAGTAAGCACTCAGTGTGAAAGTAACTTTAAAAGTAAAGGGCCTCAGAGTTTAAAGCCCTCTTATACATTTACTGCTTCAAATTTTTCAAATACAGTTTTTTCTCAAACTTGGCGTTGTGAGCAGATAAATAATAGTCTAAAAATAAAATTTGTTCAGCCTAAAAAAATTCAGCAAAATGTTATTGAAACACATTCAAACAATTCTGTACTTTCTTCTTCAAATGATTCTGTCCTGCCACAAACATCGCTGAAGTGTGCCGTTGTTTCAAATGCAAAATCAGAAATGTCAAATGAAAGCCAAAAAAGTCTTACTACCAAAGATTGTTCATCTGATGAATCTAAAAATGTAAATAATATCAGAGTCAAACGAGCTGATGGCTCTCAAGACAATTGGGCTCAGCCTCTTGCCGAATTATGGCATCATCAGGCTTTTAACTTTGAAGCTGAATGTAATTTTAATGAGAAATTATCCAGCATACCACCACATTGTGCTGTCTGTGTGATCTTCACCCCTATGCATACGAAAAACAGCTTTCCATCTGAACCTGTTAATGTGCCTTCATACAGTGCAGTCAAAATGCCTGTCTTCTGTTATGGCAACTCATTAAATAGTGAGTGCTTATTGGATACAAACTCGTTGCTTAGGCGAGATGGTACTGCTCCTCTTTTAATTTGTTCTGTATGTAAAATTTGCGTCCATGCTACATGTTATGGTATATCCATGCTGCCTATGAGATCTTGGATGTGCACTAGATGCACAAAGCAAGCTGCTGAAGCAGAATGTTGCTTATGTGTTCTGAGGGGTGGTGCACTTAAACCTACAACTGATGGACGATGGGCTCACATAGTTTGCGCTGTTCTCATTCCTGAAACATACTTTGAAAGCACTGTTTTAAAACAACCTATAAATGTATTAAGTATAACGTCTAACCGCCAGCGTCTGAAATGCAAATACTGTTTCAAATCATCATGCCATAAAGATTCAAAAGGAACATGTGTTCAGTGCCAGAGTGGAAAATGTTATTTACCATTTCATGTCACTTGTGGATATATGGCTGGTGTCATTTTTGAAACTAGTGATTGGCCTGAGCCAATTCATATGATATGCACAAGACATGCATCTGCCAGGCGAAAGCCAACTAAACGACAATTGACCAATGTTTCTGTTGGAGAGAGAGTGATTGCTAAGCATACAAACCGAAGATATTACTGGGCAAATGTGAAGAAAAAGTACATGCAAGAATACTATTCCATATTATTTGAAGACAATTCTCACTCCACCAATACTTTACCTGAAGACATTGTCAGCAGAAATGTTGCAATACATGGTTCTCCTCAAATAAATGAGAAAGTCAAAGTTAAATGGACAGATGATAAAATTTACAATGGAATTTTCAAAGGATCTCAGTCATGTGAATTATATGTTATCGAGTTTGATGATGGATCTGTTTTACATCAAGAGAGGAAACAAATTTATGCTGCTGATGAAGATTTACCAAAAGAAGTACAATCAAAAATGTCTCATTCGAGTGAAAGAAGGAGCCATGATTTTGTCTCTGAAACAGAAGGCAAGCGCATAAGAATATCCAACCATAAGTATTTGCCGAACTGATTTATTAAAACTTGCATATGTTCTATCTATGTGTTCAATGCTATGTGTGAATTATCATGTTAGCAGAATATATGTATGGTTAAAAATCTGGTATATATTTCTGTTTCAGAATATTGGCATTATGTCATCAGTTTCATTGTAATTATTCATACTTTGATAACATTTTAAAAATATTACTTTAGTAGTTCAATCCGATAGCAAATCTGAAATTGTAAATAAATGAAAAATCATTATTTCATGGGAAAAAACATCTAATATATTATCACTGCGAGCATGAATTATATTGTTGCTCTAGGAATTGTACAGCATAGGCCAATGTACATATCCCATAAATTTGATTATGTGTATGTATTGTAATGCCATTTAAATATTATTATTACTTTTTCTTGTTCTTCCCCACCTTTCCTTCTCCCCCTCCTTTCCTTTCCTCTCATCCATTAAATGATTAAATTTTACAGTTTCTGTCTACCTTTTTTCTTTCATTTGAAACATAAAACTTGCTATATAATTTTAAATTGATTTCAAAGTTATGAACTTAGCTTCATTTTGTAATGTATCTTCTTGTAACTTATGTATGTATTAGTCATCAAAATTTGTTTTTATGATTTACATTAATTTTATTAATTTTGAGTGTCTTTTATTTAATATGTCAAAATTAGTGTCTCTTTTGGTAGAAGTGTGTATGTTTTAAATTAAAGAAAGCATACGGTTTAAAACATAAATTTCAGGCGTGGACTGAGTTTTGCCATTGGCAGTGTGTGTCAGTTCTAGCATGTGTATATTCTGACATTTATATTTTGTGAAATTTTGACTATTAGTATACTTTGAACATTTATGATCATAGTATTTATTATAATTTTTCTTGCTGTAATTTTTTTTTAAGGATCAATGATTTAATGTATTTTTTGGTAGAGGTATGTTGATATTTGAATTGTGGAAGTCGTGAATGAAACTATGCAAGAATAAAAACTTCACCTTTTTCTCTTTCTAACAAGTATTTTTAAATTAATGTGATTTTGTGTTTAAAGTTCCCATGTATTTTTCGCTTTTAGATGGTTTTTCTGAATTGATGAAGTGTTATCTTTCAGTTTTATCCTGTTTGCTTCATTGTAGCATTAGCATTATGAATTTTTTCCCTCTCTTTTACTGTATCCTTACTCTTTTAAAACTGAATAGAAATATAGAAGTGAGGAAAAAAGGAAATTTTGTACAACTTCCCATAATAAGCTCTGCAAAATAATGTCTTATTTCTTTTCCATATTCTTATCAATTTACCTTTTAAAGTATGTCATGTTAGGAGCTGAGCAAGGTCAATGAATAATATAATATCAAACATAAATACAGTAAAAGCTTGACTGTCCGGAAAGCATCGGAAGAGCAAAATCCGAGATATGTAAAAATTTCAGATAGCCGAGTGTATAAAAGAAGCTCCCATAGAAAAACCAAATTGTTGAAAGAAAAAATTGTTGAAAGAAAAAATTTCAGACCAAAATTATAAAAATGGTTTGTTATCAAAAGCCTATATATGAAATTTAAAAAAGAGAGCATTTTAGACATATAGTGAACGTATTTTCATAGGCTTTAAACATATGAAAATAAAATCCCATGAACCATGAAATTTAGCATAGATTTTTGTTAAACTTGCACCAACAGAAGTTTGAAGAAATGGATTGCCCTTCATTTTGTTAAATAAGCAACAAATAGAAGCTACAGGTACAGCATATTAAAAAAAAATTTCCATCTTTTATAATTTTTGACTTTGCATTGCCATTGTTTATCCATTTAAAAAAATATTTTAAAGTCGCTAATCTTGCCCATTAAATTAACTTTTCTTGGTAACTTTAAAAATACTACATTACATACTGTTCTATAGAAGGTAGGACAGAGATTTTTAATAATTTTTTTCTAAATGTCAGGAAAAGACAGATAAACAGCAGTTAGCTTATATAATTTACGAAAACTTATTTTTTTATCAAAAATTAATAAGGGAACACGATGAAGACCTTATGATTGTTTATAACATCACGTATATCTATTATTGGTGCTAAATCACACTATCGGGCTCTTTTGTTTGTCGAAACTGGTCCAGCGGAAAAGATATCTGTGAGGTTCTAAGAGGGAATTCTTGGAATTATAAAGTGTTTGCTTTAGATAGGGTTGGGAGTAGTTGAAGTGATTAACATCTTCTGAAAGAAAATGTGCTTTTTGCAACCTTCATTTGGGTAATTTTTCATTAAAAAAAACTATAATTTGAAAAAGATTCTGGTTATTTAAATGGTGGATTATCGGTCTTTTACTGTACTTTAGTTAATATTATGAGTATGTAAACTTTTATATAATATTGATTATGAAGGCTGTGTGTTACAGTAAATATTTGGTGTGTTATTTGCCATCGCAAAGTGTAAATACTTTACCTTTTTAACATATTTAGACTTTAAACACTTACTATGTATCACCGAAAAATGAATTAAGAGAAAACTAAATGAATGTATTAATTTAAAACACATATTATATATCTTTATGTGGATTAAATGATTAGAATATTTTACTACTTTACCTTTGATTATTAAAACTTTTCACATATTTACCATTAGATTTTAAATTCTTATTTCCTACAAGTTAATATTGTTACCAAAATGTGGGGGTGGGGGAATATTGGCATGAAATTCATGTAGTAGTTTCATTCTGCATTATTTAAAACTGAAGAATAAGAAAGAACTGATAGTGAGATCAGATTTCTGATTAGAAATTTTGGAGCAAATGTTTATTTAGTATAATTTAATTAATATTTATCATTTAAAGTATTATTTCTCATTTAGTATTGGATCTATAATGTTTATCTTCAATGTTTGCTCTAGTCATGGGCTCATTGTCATTTTCAGGACATGTGTAAATCTACATTATTTTGTAAAATGACATAACTGCAGTGTGAAATTTTCCTTCTGACAAACCTTTTGTGACTGCTAAAAATACTATTTTTAAGAAATGTGATACTGTTTTTAATTTATTCTTTATATCTGACCAGCTCTGTGAACTGCTTGTTTCACTGTGTGAAATTAATAGTTAGAAAAACCATATCGCAACTTTTGTCTTATTTTTTATGTTGTATATTTGTTTCATTTTAATGTTGATATTCAAAGTTACATTTAAACTAATAAAAGTGTAATCACATTATTCATGCTTCAAATAATTGCTCTAACAGTTGTATTTTTGATATTTTCTTTGTTTGCATTATTACAAAATTTTCTGTAAATGTTAATGAACTTGATATATATAAACAAGTTTCATGGACTGGAAATCAAATTGGTATTTTCATGTCACTTGTATTTTATCATAATTCGGTTATCTTCCATCTAAATATCACCAACTGTGAAAGCTTAATTTTTGCATCATTTCCATTCATGACTAAAATAACTAAAAGGCTTCTGAAAAATAGCGAGAAAAATTATAAAGTATATATATATATGGAAAATCCACATAATTCAAAACACACATCCGTTGTTTTCTTATGTTTTAGTCTTTTGCCCTATTTCTAAGCTAGACCTGTATATTTGAAGCACTATTATACTCTCTTAATCTGTTTCATCATGGGATGGAAATTTAAACTTTTGCTTATTTTTATTAAACTAATTTCTTTTCTGTAAACTCTGTTATTTGGCTTTTGAGCATGTTCCCAAGTGATATTTGAATGCTGTATCATTGATATCCTGTTATTTTTGTTCTTTATACCTGAAGTGCAGATCAGGTTTAAGCAACAATTTCATTCATATCTGGTTCACAAATTGATCATGCCCAAGAGAAAGAGAGTATGTGTCATTGGCCAAAGCCTTTAGCACATTACAGGTGGCAGTACGACTTTAACCCATTGCCATTTCAGTTTTGATAGAAAAGATCTAGGAACAGAGTCCAAGGGTGTAGGATTTCTTTTCTGATCATTAGCCTGTCAAACAAACTGGAAACTGGGAAAAATGGATTTAACTTCATGAATTTGAAGTGTTCCCATGCTGTTGAAAAACTCTACTTTTTGAAATATCTATGTTTTATCCAGAACTTGAACCAGGCCCAGTGATATAGCAGGCTGTCAGTTCTGTTAGTCACCATATCCACCTTAGGGGGGCTTATTAATAACCCAACACTTCAAATAAAAAAAATATTATTTTATTGTGATTTTGATGACTGTTATTTTCCCCTTGGAATATAGGAATTTTAATTTGTGGTTTTTACTTCCTTGTACAAAGTAATAAGGAAGTATTGTAATCGCGAAAAGTTTCATATATTTCATATCATTTCAGGCATCGTATATCAACGAAAATATCAATTTTGACCGCTATCGAATGCAATTTAATGATGTTTTTTGCATGACATCTGTATGTAAGGGCAGAATAAAGAACTCTTTTCTCCCCCCCCCCCCCCAAAAAAAAATTATAAAACTGATTTAAAAGGAATCCTGAAGAGAATTTTTCGTGGCGTCTGTGTGTATGTATATCTCATAACTCAAAAATGAGTAGCATCAGAATGTTGAAATTTTGTATATAGGACTGCTATAACATGTAGATGTGCACCTCGTATTTTGTTTGCAATCGGCCGCACCAAAAGTATATAAATATATGTACATACATACATATATATATAATGTTGTATGAACTTAAATCCATTTAGTGCGAATACAAGTTATTATTACTTGCGCAATTGCTGCAAAGTTAGTTAATAATAATTTATTTCCTAAACAGTATTGATTAATTGATTATATTACCTCCTAAGTTTAATTAAAGTAGAATTATTTTAAAAGTGTGCATCCATACTGGTAAGTTATATTTTGAAAGATGTTTTGAAGTACTTTGAAAGCAAAATGTTAATAATGTTTTAACGGGACTGGAGTTAAATCAATCACGAAGAATAATATTCAATGTAAAAGGAAAAATTAAAACATGTAATTATTGTCATTGATCGGAAATTAGTTGACTTTTTAAGGGGAACAAACCAACTCCCGTTCAATGAACAATAATTGATAATAAATGCGTAAATATGAAAGTGTTTCGTCTTTACTCGAGTTATAAGTTAATGCCAAACCGGCAATTCTAGTCACGCCAAATATTTCGCGCGAATAGTTGCTACTCAAAGAAACTTATTCTCATGAAGCATTTTAGTCAATTCAATTTGGAGTAAAAATCAATTACTGTAGAGAAATCCTGTAAAACTCGAGTAACCATCCCCGACGACACTATCATCTTTATGTATTTGAGTACTATATTTATTTGTAGAAATTAAACATTGGAAATTGTCATTATGAATTGAATTCAAAGTAAAGTTGAAATAAACATAGAAGATTATAAAAAAGATAATAATGCAAACTTTGTAAAAACAAATCAAGAAAACATAAAAATATATAAAATAAAAAATATAAAATAATAAAAAAATATAGATATAAGATACTATAATAAGATCAGTGCATGTACATGAAGATATAAAGGCCAGAAAGGTATTAAGTAACTTACATTCTTTCTAGTGGGGGAGTTGGCAACATTGTGAAAAAAACATCAAACAAACTTTCGCAGTTTTAGACAATTCAATTTAAATGAAGTTAAAGCAAAGTAGCAGGCGATTGACATGGCGAAGGTAAAAATTTACTCTTACGAACATTTTTAAAAAAAGGTAAAAATTTGAATAATATCATCTATAATTTAAAAAAAAAAAAAAGCTTTTCATATAGTATTAATAAATATTACGCATCATTGAGGGAAAAAATTCATATAATTAATCCTTTTTAAAAATTTATTTGAAATTTAAGGTTAAAAATAGCTGTGACAATTCACTGTAAAAAAATCCATAACCACATTTGGTGTTATTATCACTCAAAAAAAAAAAGATGCCAAATTTAAAAACGCGAAAATATGTAAATTCGTGTATATATTGGAAAATTTTGAATAAAAACTAATTTTTTGCAGGTATGCTTAGAACTACACCTACTTTAAAATGATAGTAAAAATTTTATAGGTTATAATTCAAAAATTTTTTCGAAAAATTTATAAAAATTATTTTAAAATACAAATTTTAAAAACAAAACTCAAAAAATGAGTGAATTTGTTTTGGAATGAATCTAAATTTTGAAATGTGAAAGGAAAAATCAAAGACGTTTAATAAAAAAAGAGATTTATAATAATAAAATAGGCCAAATTCAGGGAACAAAATTGAGAGCTAATTTTTTAAAAACTACTTGTACGATTTTTACAAAACTTGGCACTCTGTCATAATTTGAGTCGTAGAATCGAAATATGTAAAAAAATTGGTATGTTATTTCAGAAAAAGTTCGATTTTGTGTCAAAATACCTATGTTAGAATAGTGCTATATATAAATCTAATATATATCCTCTGTTGCGCTTTCGAGATATGAAGCACAACACTATTTGAATTTTGTCAATCGGACCAGTAGAACAGGAGATATAGAACTGTCCCTTTTTTTTTTAGCAGTGTACATTAGAGTTGTCAGTCATCTTTTGCTTTGTATCCGAAACATTTGTATTGTACTTTTATAACTCTTCTTCAGACAGCTTTGATATCATTCATGCCTTACAATTAACTTTATAAGAAGTGGGAAAAGTTTTCTCATTTTTAATCATCTTTCCATTTACTAAAAGCCTGCAAAGCTTAGTTCCATGGTCCATTCATATTGGCAAACGCTAGAATTGATGTATGTTATAAAATTTTGACAATTTGTGCTAGTTCATGTTTGGTCTTTAAATTGTAACATTTTGTTTGGCATCATGAGCTAGAATATTGCAGCTTCAGATATGCTTTGAAAATATCTTTTCCCTGATATTGGAGAGAACAATTTTCCAACAATGAACAATTTTCCAACAGTTTTTTTTTTTAAAGAATTTTTTCCATTTCTTAAACCTATCCAGCCCAGCCATTTGAGCAAAAAAAAGGGGGGGTGGTAATTTCATTAAACTGTCCGGTAAATTCATCGGCCCTTGTTTTGAAGTCTTTATCCAGGTGTTGGCAGATTACAGCTTCTTTGATCTAATCAACTAATTTCCGATCAATGACAATAATTACATGTTTTAATTTTTCCTTTTACAATTGTAATATTATTCTTCGTGATGACTTAACTCCAGTCCCCGTTAAAACATTAACATTTTGCTTTCAAATTACTTCAAAACATCTTTCAAAATATACTACCAGTATGGATGCACACTTTTAATTCTACTTTAATTAAACTAGATGATAATATAATCAATTAAATACTGTTTTAGGAATAAATTATTATATATATATATATATATATATCCACTCTGTTACCCGGCTCAGTATCTCCGGTCTCTTACTCTATCTTTGTAATTGTTCATTTTTTTTTTAGAAATGATTGAATTATGTTGTTCTTTCTTCCGGTTAAGGTTTTTATGCTTTAATAAATCTGCGATATATTTATATTTCACAATTTAAAGTTTTTAAAGCTGCTAAGCCTCTATATTTTTTGAGACGGACATGTTTCTTTATACTTGAAACTTGGCAGAATTTCAGATTTGTTGCCAATCGAGAGAAACTGAGCTTTGCAATAACAAAGATAGTGCCTCCTTTATTATTGCGAATTAAATCATGCTTAATCCATTCTGGAATTTATTCGAGGAAATAAGTGTTTAAGATTTAATTCGTAATTTTTAACCCTTTGTTGCATCATGTCCACTGTATTGGACAAAAGTTTAAATTTGTTTATTCTTCTGTAAATGCCTTAACAGATTCCATTCCTATGTTTATTCATTCTCTATTATTAGAACTTTCAACTGTCGATCATACATAGCTGTATAGCATCACTAAGAGAAACGGCTGCTACTTCTGTTGAAGTACTACAATTTCTCATAGTAAACATATAATATTGCTTACGTTTTCTTATACTGCCATTTTTTATTCATAATTAGTAAGTTTAGACATTTTAAATGTCAGGTTGAGAAAATTGTGGAGTGGGTCGATAAAGATCTACCGAAAAGAGTGAATTGAAACCCAAATATACTGCTTATCAAGCCAAAACACCACTAGAAATTTTTGTTTGACAAGGAAGTTCTAGAACATTTGAATCCAATAGGTACAGGTTACAAAATAGTAGCAAAATGAATTCAATCACAATCGATGAAATGAAGGTATTTTGGGGAATCTGTATGTACACTGCTAAAAAAAAGGGGGGGGACAGTT